TCCCTTCTCTCCTTTAGAGAGATGAAGGCCAGAAACTGGGAAACTGGGATTAGTACACTACTGACCTCAAATATATTTTGCCTGAATGACCCAATATGACCAAAACAATTATGACATGCACAGAACCTGGCCCCCATATAACCTCACTGGGAGCTCTAACTCTAACCATACAATGTCATGACTATTACATTTCCACAAGTTCTTGCAAAGCCATTGTGCCACTTCCCTTACCCAGGTTGTGCCTTCTATAGCTGTATAACACAACATGAAGCAATTGTAATACTTTTATAGACATCAACAAGGATACAGAAACTGATCTTCTAAGGAAAATGGAAAGCCTTACAGGAAATCAGTCACGGACCACTGCTTTAAAGAACTTAATTTCACAATTTCCAGTAACAGCTGCATCTAGGTCCATTTTCTTTGCTCTTCTTTCTTTGCTTTACTGTTTCTTTTACAGGGTGGGTAGATTCAGAAAGAACCACTGCCTCCAACTGCCTACCCAGTGCTGCCTGTGCAGACAGACAGAAACACAGAGCATAGAATACAGCCAGCTACTGCACACCAAAGCACTGAAAGTTCAGCCAAGTTGGTACAAATAGCAGCTAATGAGCAAAGGTTTCATGTTGTCCTGTGCTTCCCACCACTGTCCCAGTGCAGGCATGCTTACATGTCACAGGGACAGACAGACATAGATGGGTCAATTCTGTAAGGCATCCTTGTGGGGAAATCTGGCAAAAGACAAAGTTAATGGAACAAAATTCAGACAGGAACATTATAACTCTTCCTACACGTAAGTTACCAGAAATTCTTTCAACAGCTCAAATGCCACACTCCTTGTACAAAACATTAATTTCCTAAGATTATAAGAGTTACATAGTATCATTTTCACTGTAAAAACAGAAACTTTGTTTTTCAATCATCACCTAGTCTGAAATTAACTGTACACCCTTCCTGCAGCTCAGCACTGCCAAAATCTCTCACAATACACTACATGAGCTATCCTGTACACCTGTCCTACAACCAGCAGGATAGCACTGTGGTGGTACCATTGCCCAAAGCACCTTTAATGCCTCTGCATCCCAAGAACTATTCTACAGAAGGATGTATATGAAGTTCTACACAGCATTAAAGTAACCTAGGGAGATGTGAAACAACATGGAATCATACAATACTATTAAACTCCCTCCTATTTCCAAACAGTGGAGCTTTAATAAATGAGATTAAGATTCAGTGTATGCCTGGTTGCTAAAGATTTTGGAAAAAAAGGCACTAAACCGCCAAGATGGCTACACAAAAATAAGGTAAATTTATTTTTGCCATTTCATATTGCTTTGACTGTATCACATAGCCTACTCTTTAGTGGTGTTTATTCCTATTCCCTGAAGAATCTGATATAAACTGCTGTAATACCACACTCCTGCCTGGAAGAAAACCCCCTTTTCAATTACCAATGACTTGGAAAAATACTATCCAGCAGAAGAGATGTCCTTTTCTTGGCCTGTGATCACTCTGTTCACTTTAAAGGAATACACCTCATTAACCCTGATAATTAACAGGGTTATTCTCATCACAGAAAAGGTTTAAGTCCCTCTATTAAGCCATTGCTTGAATTTGCACTGCTATTAAGATGATGAGGCTATTCTGGATTTAATTTCAAATTAACAAGATGTTTCTCTTTAGAGATTCTAACTTTTTTCAAGTCAAGGCATATAATTCCATTGTCATGTACGCTACATGAGAATGAATCCACTGGATTAAGGAATGGACGATACACATACAGAAAATAAAAATTAAAGTTGAAAACCTAGAAGGGGTAAGGAAGCAATGCAAAACAGCAGCAAAAACAGAAAACAGGCATCTGAGAGCAGCATGGCTGCGGCAGCGGAAATCAGCAATAACTGAAAAATGACAAAAGGACCAAAATTACAAGGAGAGATACAGAGCATAGGAAAAGATGACCAGCAGATGTATCACTTGCTAGCTGCACCATTCCAGTAAGACTCCACAGGCTACATGGAAACTTTTAGTTCCCATGCTTTCTGCACTGGAAGTATACTAATGCATATTTGGGGAATTTTGTTCCTATATCACGTATAAGGTTTCTCAGGATTCTGTAGCTAATAGAATCTTCTAAAAATCTAAGACTTTAGTTTTTGCATGTAGGTATATTTCTACATGAACTTGCTCATTCCACAGGAGAAAAGACATTTGTCTAAAGACAGACAGTTATTCTGAGAATATTAAAAACAGTTAACTGCAGCAGTCATGTGCAGAAATCCCACATCAACTATAAAACCCAAAATGACAGTTTATCTCATTATCCATACTGACATCACATTAGTTGATGCGAGTTGTAGCTAACAAACATACAGAATAATCATAGTACAGAAAAATTAGACACATTTACTTTGAGATTAAATTATACATGTTTCACTGGCAGCACACCTGATACCAGAGCATCCAAGTGCCTTCAATGTAAATGCCTGGAGATGTCAAACTAACACCTAAGATTTTGCAAAAAGAAGTTTCTTTTGCATAAAATTCAGTCACTATTAAGTGTTGGAACAGACAAAAGAACTTTCTGTCATGACATGAGGAATATCACAGCTCTGACTGGGTCAAATACTGGATGAAGCAAGTTCACAGAGTTAAGGTAGCTGTCAGTCCCAGCTGGGAGAATTTCAAGCACTGCTAGATTGACCCATCCATGCATCTGAAAAGGGTCTCATTCATTTGGTATGCATTTTCCAGAAAACTTCCTTTTTTGTATTTTAAAGCACCCATTGCTAAATCTTGTCACAAGTGTTTAGCACTGTGAGAAAAACATTCAACTCCTCCCATGAAGAGTGTCAAGAGTGCTGTGAAATATTCAGAATAACTCACTATGCAAGTCTAATCAGCATAACAACTCCCTCAGGAATTATCAATTTGCAAATCTCTCAAACATCTAAAAAGGGTAAGAAAGTTGTTGAAAATACAGGAGGATTCTCATGAATGAGCTATACACTGAATTTTCTTCTTAAAGTCTAAAGCAAGAAAACATTCTTCAGCAGAGTGAAGGCAAAAGTATACACATGCGATTAATAGAGGAGGTAATGGAAGGCAATATTGAATCATCATGACAGCTTTATGTAAGCTTGTATGAGACTTTTAGTCAGGAATATTAGACAGTAGCAGAGATTTTATCATTATCAGGAAACATCATCATTGCATCTCCAAACACAGTCTTTTGGTTTGAACAGTGTAAAATGCACCTGAATGCTCATAGGTTCCCCGCTGCTTTCTTTGTTAGTCAATATACTACACCTTTCTTTATCAAATTGCAGGTTTCCAACTGAAACCAAAGGGCTGTGAACATCAGACCTGTAAATTTCATTGCCATTAGTTAGTTTCCTTCCTCACTCTAATACAAGATACACACAGCCCCCAGGGCCAGCAGAATCAGGGACAGAACCTCAAACAGAAGGGTTTGTTTTTCAACATAAAGTTCCAATAGCTAAAAATTACTCTTTTTTTACCCCTTTCTTTTTTAAACAAATATTAAAAATAACCACGGTGGCTTTGGCACTGCTTTAATCAGTCTAAACTTGAAGACAGGAACCCTAATTAAAACCAAGAGCTCTAGCCGTAAGAAACAGCTAATTAGTTCCCAACTTTTTAATGAAGTACTGTGGTGGTGCCCATATTAGCTGTTCAGTATTAAAAGGAAATATTCTGCAAGATAAGCTCATTCTCTCAGGGAGTACATCAGTTTGTATATTTACTTCAACCTATGCATTGTCTTTAAGAAAACACTGTAATAATTGATCAGATTTGCAGATCTCCGTACACAATAAGATATATGGACTTTGCAGCATTTTGAACAGAGGAGAAATACATGGCAGTTCATTTCAGTCCTGTTAGACAATTAAGACAACTTAAATCACACTAAAGTATAAGGTCCCCCTTTCAATTCATCCCTAAACAACTTAGAAATACAAGAAAGAAGAAGATGGGGAAGAAATGAGAGAAAACATTGTACTCATAAATCTGGGTAAAACAAATGGGATAGAGAAAAAGAGGAGCTACTAGATTAAGAGGAACCTTGGCTAGATAATCACAGCAAGACATGCCAGCAGCCATGGAAGCCTGAACACCTTTGTTCACGTTTCCACAGTTTTTAATGTCTCATTTCATAAGAGCTGGTACTTCTATCCCCCTTCCCACACACAGAGCATGAACTAAAAATTTTTTAAAAAAGTAGATCTAAAAGAAGAAAAGCTGACCAACTGACTGCAAACAAAGACCAAGTTATCCCACATTCCCAAGCCAGGTATTTCGAACAAGGCTCTCCGCTTGTTCCCAAGTCGCTACACTCCACACTTACTTAGAAAGCCCTTAAGGATAAATTGGCACTGATGCCGGAGCTGAGCCGAGGAAGAGTGAAAAACCGCCCCGAGGCGGCTAGGGGTGGCCGGGAAGGGCTCGGCGGGTGAGAGGTGCCCACGGCCGCCAAGGGAGCGCTCCCTCCCGAGCTCAGTCCCCAACTTGGGGCAAACGGGTGGAAGCGAAAGACGCTCCCCTCCGTTATTTATCCCAGCAGTGGCGCGCAGGGGTGATGGAGACTGAGGGACGCGGGCAGCCCGGGCTGCTGCTCGGTGCAGGCAGTTGTCAAGGTGCGAGCTCAACAGAATGATGAGACCACACGAAGAGCCGAGGGAAACCCTCGCTCTGCGTCTGCCCGCACCCACCGAGACAGGGACAGCGGCAGGAACCCGCGTGGGTGCCCTGATGCGCTTCTCCCAAAAACACCAAACCATCACCAAAAAAAAACCCAAAAGAAATAAACAAAAACCCCACAAACCAAACAAACAAAACCCAAATCAAACAAAAACCCCACCACAATAAGAAAGCACTACCACCCCGGAAAAAAAAGGGCAGCATCCGAGCCCGGGACCCGGCAGGTACCGTGCCACCAAGCCCCACGAAACCAACCTACCCCCGACTCCCCAACTCACCGGCGGCGGGCCGAGGTGCCTTAGGGAGCCGGGTACCAGGTATCACCCTCCGATCCATCCCGCCGCCCGACAGCCGCCAGCCCGGCGCGGCGATCCCGCCACGCCCCGCCGCGCCTAGCCACGCCCCCCGCCACGCCCCCATGATGTCATCCCGCCGAGCTGCCCCGCCCTCCGCCAGACCGCGCGGCTGGGAACGGGAATGGGGCAGGCAGTAGTTGGGAGGGGTGGGTGCCCGCGGCGGCCGTTTGCGTGGAAACACCAGCGTGGGAAATAGTGTTGTGATCAGTTTCACGCCAGAAGATTCGCACCCTCCCGGTCTCTGCTTTTCGCCTGAAATAGCCTTTAAAATCAGTTTGTTGGAGGTGTAGAAATCCCGGGCAGTAGGATTTCCGTAGGGGTTATTTGAAGGTTTACTTATCTTTGCATTAAGAAAATGAAGTGGCCGCCTGGAATCTCTCGTTGCCCTCGGAAAGCCGGGCAGAAGTCATAGCATCATAGAATCATAGAAAGGTTTGGGTAGGAAGAGACCTTAAAGGTCATCCGGTGAAAAATCCATCCCCCCTGCGGTGGGCAGGGACACCTGCCTCTAGGCCAGGTTGCTGAAGGCCCTGGCTTTGAACAGTTCCAGGGACAGGGCAGCCACAGCTTCTCTGGGCAACTTGTTTCAGTGTGTCAACACCCTCACAGTGAAGAATTTCTTCCTAATGTATAATCTAAACTTCCCCTCTGTCAGTTTAAAGCCATTGGCCTTCCCGTAGATGAAAGGGCACCTTTCAGCCATGAGTTCAACACAGAGAAGAACTGTGGGGGCTGGCAGCAGGAGGCACAGGACACCACAACACACAGCTCCATTGCATGGGCTCCAGTCTGTATAATTATTGTCATGTTTGAGAAAAAACATGAAGTTAGGTCTGCACGGCTTAGATAGATAGCTTAAGAAACTAACATCCTGAGGCAGAATGCTCAGGCAGCCATCCAGAGTGAGAAAGCCAAAAATAAAAAATAAAAAATAAAAATCCACCTTAGACCAAATTTCTGGAAATATGGCACAAAATCTGCTAGTTATGTATATTGATAAAGGCTTTGTTTCCAGAGTAAACCATTTTAGGCTGATTTAAATTGTGCCTCTATGCTCTTTAGAGACAGAAAGGGTAGAGAATGCCCATACAGATTTTTTTTTCTTTATATAATTGTTTTCAAGTGGCAGATCTAGATATTAAAGAAAACATTGGTTTGAGCTGCAGTGTGGAAGGAGTAGTAGTACAAGCCTCAGGCTTTGTCAAAGAAGTCCACAGAAAAGATGGAGAACTGTCAAGTCCTGTTGTCGTAAGCTCAAGTGTCTAAGCAAGCATTGCCTTTATCACAATGAAAACATGCAGGTACCTGTGTACTATGGAGCTCACACAAGTATATTATCATTTCTCCTGTTTTTCTGGGTTCTGGGATCTGATCCAAAGGTCAAACATGAGAGGCTGTATAAAGTCATATCTGCTTCTCACATATTTCTTCTTTTCTGATAAATAGTAAAAAGGAAATAAAGCTATTTAAAATTCTTCTCTCACCTTCTGGCACTAGTTTAAGAATTCTTTTAATTCTCAGCTATACGTGGATACATTTTCACTCATTCTTGCTATTTTCATCTTACCATATTTGTCCTTTTGTCTTATTGGAGATTTCACCTGATCAGGTTTGTAACAGCAATTTTTATACCCTGAAAATAACATTGAAAATGAAGCTACATCAGCCTCAATTATTGCTGCTCTGCTTCACCATTTTAACACACTTGCATGGCTACTCACCACATCAAAATACATCCTGTCCTCAATTCCAAAGAAAGTATTTGGGCGTTAAATTGTTTCTTGTTATCTGCAGAATGATTTTTCAACAACTGCATCAGTGTAAACATATATACAAGAATGAGGACTTTCCTTCCAGAAAAGCCTTCCTCCCATCTGGGATCCTGAAGCCTGAGGCAGAGGCAGTGGTATGAAACTTTTGCTCATTGCTTTGGATAATGACTGATGTCTAGTAAAGGTGACTGATCTTATGAACCGAGTGCTGTTTCATTTCAGTAAGACACTTCGATGATTTCATTAAGTGGAACGCAAAATTTAAAAGACTAAAAAATACCTCAGACTCACATGGATGACTGATACTAGCTGAATAATGAGGCAGCTACCAGCATAAAACAAGGGACAAAGTGACATATGAACAGTAATATTTAACTGGAAGAAAGATGTATGCTAGACACAAGTGTATAGTAGGCAATTAATTCAGAGAAGTTCATAGAAAAAAGATGAGCCCAGTTTGTAATCACATAGCAATTTCTGCTGTTGAATTCCTCAGCAGAGCAGTGTCAGTCTGTCAATGGAAAAGGTACGTTATAATTGCTACTACTCTGTCAGTTAACACTGGTGGAAATGCTGGTTCAGAGAGAGCTGCAGCTTTTTCTAGCAAACTTTTTTGGATTCCTTCATAACCTAAGCACATTAACAACTGTAACTATGGCTGCTCTGAAATCCATATGATTAAGACAACCAAGAACCACATACATACCAGAGGAATTTATTATGACCAAACGGATGTCTGATTTCACTGCTTATCTTACATGGACTTTTCTCTTTGGACATTCATTCTTTTTACAAGCCAGTATATTTTGATTTTTAAAGAGATGTTGTAGTTGAGGCAGAGTTTGTTCTGATGAAGGTCCTGAATAGCAGCTTTATGGATTCAGAACCATAACATTTAAATATAGGAGTAAACTTTTATGATTTAATAATTCCAAGTATCAAAAACTAATACTGTGTTTACAAACCTTTCATGAAACTATGTTATAGTACAACAAATTTGTACAGCTATATGTCACAAAATCTCATGTCAAATTCTAGGTTTTTTAAAGAAAAAGTAAAAAACTACATTTAACATGAAGCATGAAGGACATGACAAGAAAAAAGAGAGGGAAGAAAGAGTCATGTTATGTACAGTATTTAAGGCAAAACATACAATTACAAAGTGGATTAAGGTAGGAAATGTTAGAGTGAATGCTTAATGATAACTTTTGCAAAGAGATTCAAATTGACTTAAGGCTATGACATTTGCTTTCCCAAAACTACTAAATTTGAGTCAGGTGCTGCAGGCTTGATCCATGAAATGGAAGACAGGAACAATACCACTCTTCTATTAAAAAACTAAGAAACTTCACAGTATGAGCCTGTGCCACACTCTCAGGATGTGGTTACACCTCCAGTTCATGTCTAGGTAAGATGTTCCCACAAAAAGGAGAGACCCTTTCTTTCAGGTATTCCCAAGCCTTTCATCATCAGCATTAATGAATATCTAACTAATGTGGTGAGCAAGACCAGTGTACTTATCAGGCTTCCAAAAATCTGGAACTTTTAGAAAATTATATATATATTCCCTTCTCCAGCTGTCACCAATCACTAGTGCTTGCACAAGAGTAGCAGGAGCTTCAGCACATGGCTCTGGGGGAGAGAAAATGGGGGGAAATACCGTGACACTAATTCAAGTCACCTATGAAACACACAAAACTGGAAGCAGTTTCCTCACAATCAAAGATTTACAGTGCTCTTGGATGTGATTATTTCCTTTTTTTCTTGTTTCGGTAAGTTGAAAATAGCTGTCTTGGTAACCAACTCTACAGTAGAATAGCTCCAAACAGGAAGGAGTAAATGCTTCCTCACAGCTGGCCACAGTTTGGTAGTTACGCTACAAAGATGAGAAGTTCAGCTTTTAATCCCTTCAGGCAGAAAAGTGAATTGAATTGAAGTCTAACAGAGACTGGACAAGTATGTTAGCCACAGATAAAAAGAGAGGAAAAGTCTTTCTGCAGTTTAGTGAATCTCCAACAATTTTGCAACCCTTTCAACTTCATTTTTTTTCTATTTGTGCTTTTAGAAAAATAAACTCTTCCTTCTAACTGTAATGACTGTTGCGTTGAGGATTTTCTTCAAGATAAAATAAACGTTGCTTTATTTGTTCATGTTTATGTTGTTTCTGGACTCTGAATAAAAGCTAAACATGGTGAAACAATGCTAGAAATATATATGCCCAAGACCAGAAAAAAAGGTGTCAGTTAAAGGTTAAAAAACCTCCATACCTAGAAGCTATCTGCTTCTTCCAGCTCTACTGAAGAGCTTCCCTAGCCTTCCGAACTCCTTCCTGCTAGATCTTTACAGCATGAGTTCATACATATTCAGAAGAAAAAGACAGAAAGGTAGAGTTTATTTCACATCACAAAGAATGACCATAGAGATACTGCAGAGGAAGGACAGAAGTTGCTTTCCTTGTTCTTCTCCCTCCTCTGAGTAAGAACTTTACCAAATTAAAACAGACTTCTTGTCATGTTTCCTGCTATACATTAAGTAACAGAAAAGCATACTGCCTCTTGCCTGAACTAACCAAGCTAGCAGGGAATATCCAGTTACCTGCATGAAAATGCTACGGGGTAACTCTACTTTCTCACTTTAACCTTGAGTACTAACCATTAATAAGCCAGTTTTACTCTGACAAATTACTTAAGTGATGTCTTCCTGTATGTGGCCACCACCATGGCACTATGCCTGTGAATGATTGATGGGTTTCCTCACAATGTTCCCTGGAATATAAAGATCTCTACACCAAGTATTTTTAATACAGAGTATTAATTTATCATCCTTTTCATAAGCAAACCTTTTATATTTTATACCTATATATACACTTTTGCCTTATTTCATCCTCATGCTAGCTCTTCCCTTTTCTTCATCTTAACATAAAACAGTGCTTACATTGATGCATGGAATGCTGGTACAGTGAGCTGTTAATAGCAGCTGGGTTTATTAACTTTGTATAACCCAGACATTTGTTTTTCCTCATTCTGCAAATGTTTGCTCAGAGCCTAAGGGCCAAAATGCAAAAACATCAGTTTGTTGCAAAATAAAGCACTTCAAACTGAAGACAAGAGGTTGTAAGGAAATATTTGCCATGTTCTGCAGTGCAAGATCTGTTCTGAAGAGTGACGCACCTTTTTTAATGCTAATACCAAATCTGTAACATATGTAATTCTATAGATGAAGGCATTAGCATGCTGAAATATCTTTATTAACAATTTGA